GCGGCAATGTTGGGGCGGAAGAGGGGGTGGGGATTGGTGGGGGCGGGAGGGCCAGGTGGTTGTCATTGTTGAAGGCCCCGGCCCACTCCAGCCCCAGCCCCAGTGCTGCTGCCGAGTGCCGCTGTGCAAGGTAGCCAAAAGGGTACAGACTGGGGGAGAGATAGGTGGGTGGGGGGAGTTGCAGCACCCCTGCGGTCATAAGTGCAGGTAGACTGCCAAGTGCCCAAATTTTGATCACATGACCACAGGGGAACTGCAACAGCCGTAACTTTGGGCATTGGTCGTAAGTGCATTTTTCCAGCATCTTGGTAATTTTGAATGGTCGCTAAACGAATGGTCATTAGGCAAGCACTACCTGTATCTCAACCCGATTAAAAAAAAAAATCAAGAGAAAATATTTTTAAGTTTTCAAGTCAACTAGTTAAACATTCAGAAGTTCTGAAGAGAGAAAAAACTGATTAGTTAGTATAAATGTGATTCAGACAAATAGATACAATTGGGAATGCATTACATTTTCAAATTCTTTAAGTTCGCGAGATCTGGGGAAGACCAGAAGGTTTCCGAAGGACTGCAAGAATGGAGAGCACAATTTGGAGATTAGCACTTTTCTACCTTCCCTTTTCCATTATATTCTCCCTCTCCCAACAGCATGCTGGAGATTAGCGAATGTCAATGCAGTAATATTTGCTATGGTGGACTGCCAAGGAGGAAGAATAGGTTTGTTCCTGACACTCACCAAAGAGATAGATGTGGGATTCTCCCTCTCTTTCCAATCAACTTGTTCACTCTTATCACACTCTCTTTGTCCTTCTTCTTCTTGAGATTCTGAGTGCTCATTTCCCCTTGGTAATAAATAGCAGTATTCCAAATATTCCTGCCTTCCTTTTAAGTCTACAATCTATAAATGGAAGAAAACAAAATTATTAAAGATAATATTTTGAGTACTAGAAATCTGATGATCACTAATACTTGAACATTAAAAGTATTATGTGTGTGGTCTATTTTAGTAATAGTTCATCAGTTCTACTGCGCATCCCCCCAATGTTTTGATCAGAAAATTAAAAAAGACATGCTTTATTTAGTGAAGTTCTTTGTACATGAGCCATACATCTCAAACAGACATTTCACTTTATGATGAATAATCTGAATAAAAAAAACCCTTAACTCACTTTTCTATTGAATATGCTCTAATGCAAAAGTAATATTCATCTTTATATTTAATATGAAAGATCCAATTCACAAGACTATATTGTGGAAAATAATGGGTGAAATTGCATTTCACTGCTCTTTAGGAATCCCTTTGTAGTGCCAGGCCCTCAAAGTGTGATTGTAGGAGAAAGAGCAGTAGGGATATCTTTAAATATTTTCTTTACAAAAGACTGTCTGAATTCATAATATATCAATAGCCACTTAAGTCAAGGATTCAGAAGTGAAGCAAAAGACTGCATTTAAATGATACAAAACTCTCACACTAATTTTTCCAGAAATGTGTGCATAGATGCCAGAGAGATTTTCACACCTCTGGACCAGAACTCAACATTTGCCTCATGCTCTTTATGCTAATTAGAATTGTTGACTCCCTAATTCAAAAAATTGTTAAGGAAAGGCATGATCCCAACATTCCTTAAGAAGATGCTGGAATGGCCTCCTTGTCTATAGTGATTCAATAGACTAATATGGCTCTCCTCCTATAATAGGTATCCAGGGTGTGATACCCTAGCTGTGTTCCAATTACTACAGCTAGTGTGGACTTTTAAAGCCCTAAAGAATCATCAGTTGGGCTACAATAAGAGAAAGCTTTCTTCTAGGTACATAGAGGCTCCAATTTGCCTGTGCCATGCCTACTAGGGATATGTAACAGAGTTAGCTTAGCTGCAACCCCTAATCATGGAATGCACTTCATATGGACACTTTCACTTAATCTCTCAAATGAGGTGCCATGCAACAAAATCTGGCCCCCTTTTGCAGGAGAGACAAAACTGAGTTTTATTCTTTATATTGTTGGGATTTTCTATGGCCTATTTTGTGTATTTTTATTAATGTATGCTTGGGTTTTTTTATTATATGTTTAGCCATAATAAAAACTTGGAGTTGAAAGGGGAAGGGCAGGAATATTTAAAATTAACTAATCAGCAACTGTAATTAAATTGCTTTTATTTATGGTGTTTGATAAGAACCTATATGACAGAACAGAGAATGCTAGAAGCTATGTATCTTCTCAAATAAGCATAGTGGATCTTCTGCTATATATCTTTTTCAGCACTTCACGTTCTCATGAAAACTTGGTATTAATTAGACTGAAAAATTACTCATCTCTTGCACCACTTGAAAGATTGTTCTAGATTTAAGGTGGAGAAACTTGTTATACAACTTACTATAGAAGCATCAGATCTGGTAACAGAGCCAAGTAAATACTTGTTCAAAATGCCATTACAGCAGGTAAAACCAGAAACAGTATACAATTCATATTGGGATCAAAATCTTATTTATATCTGGAAATCTATTTTGCAAAGATATCTGTGTGTATTTCTTGGAAAGTTCATACAGAATACAGTATTAGAAAAGCTTAGAAACTGGATGTCCTTTAAAGATTATAATCAAGCAGAATGTGTGTCAAGAAGATGATTAATTAAATGGGATGGGACAGTATAATGTCAAAGCAATATATTTTAGTGGTCCTTCTGCAGGGATGTTTTCTGGGTAAGAATTCCAATAGCTATGCTTAAGGTATAGATTCGGTATAAATTCAGAACAGAACATAAATGATAAATCAAATCTACATTATTGGTGAAAGTGGTTTTAGGTTTGCAGGGCAACTCAACAGAAAGAAAATAATAAAAATTTAAATCTCATGTAAAATGTTCAAATGTTTTGTACAGAATTGGCATTACTATACATTTAAGTATAAAAAGTGTTACAACAGGTACCAACACATAGATATAAAAACAGCAGTTTTGGCACCACTGGATTGCTGAAATTATGCTGAAAATACCTTTACTTTGAATCTACTAAACTCAAAGCCTGGATATGGTAAACATGACTTTTGGAAATCTCAGTCAACTAAAAAGTGCCTCTTTGTGCAGGACAGATTCATATTTGTTACATTTTAATATAATAAAAATCTACTAAATTCTTTGTAGGATTAGGGTTAACACGCAAACCTGATATGACTGTCTTGCAGCTTCATTTAAATATACAGTAGTCCTGATCTCCAAACATTCTGCATTCTTTAATCAAAAGATTATATAAAAGCCCAAACCAAATACATTATATCAGCAAGCTGTTCCCTGAGTTTAAATTACAGCAGTATAAAAAAAGAATTGAGAATATTAACTTATACTGATGTTTGAAGAACCAAGTAATAATGAAAATTACAGTGGCCAGAGTTTGTGTTTACTGGCTCTGTTATTTTCTAATGGCCCACTGGCCCCACTAACTCTTCTTGATAAATTCGCATCAAGATGGAAAGTAAAAATCGCAGCTGACCTGTGTCATTGCAGCTTTTCTATCCACTCTTTCCTACCCCAAGTCTAGAGAAAGCCAAAGCTGAGATTCACTAAAGAATCTTCAATATTGCATGTCAGACAGACTTGAGTGCTATAGACAATCTACAAGAGTGGGTTTCTTCCTGGAAACCTTTCAGACCTGCAAACTACCTGTTCAGTCTCAGCAAATTGTAGAGCCTTTTTTTTTTTTTTGCCCACTTTAATGTTCTACTTGCAGCAGTCTTGAATGGTAGGTTTCATAAAATCCAATTTAACAAGAGAAATTGTCTCTGTGGTCAGAATGAACCTCAAACCTTAATGCACTGCCCCTTCCATGAGAACTTACGCTATGGTATACCAGTACCAGCTTCAAGTAGAGATCAAGTTTTCAGTGAGGTTTATTTCCTACTCTCAGACCAGAACCATGCTATTATGAACAGAGGCGCCAAGTTCTTATCAACACCTATTGCTGTAAGAAGGCTTAAGGTGTCCTAATCTTGGAAAGATGTCACATTCCTTTGTCTTCATTTTATTTTTATTTTATCTATTTTGTTTTCTTCTCTTTTGTTTACTGCTTACATTTGTAAATTTTAACTGGCAGGTCAATATAGAGATTTTACTGCTCATTGTATTTGAGCCTGCTTTTATTGTTGTAGCTACTTTACTGGTCATTGACCACAGATAAATACAATTTCAAAATAACAAGGACAAGGGGATCATTTTCTTCTGGAAAAAAAATCAGATGGAACAGCAAAAAAAGACTGTTTCCCATCTTACTTGTTCTCTTGGAAAAGGAAGAATGTGCAAGAATGTGCCACTAACCTGAAAAGGCAATCCATCTTTCCAAAGAATGTGTGCTGTTCTGGCATCTACTGATTTAAAGTATAAAACAGCAAAACCTGCCCCAATTTAGAGGGTAATCCTTATTCTACATCAGAAGGTATCTCTGATTTGTAAATATCAGTCTCTCTCATTTCCAAACATGTATTTCATTATTATTTATTCTGTAAGGTATCTTTTCATTAGAAATAAATCTCTTAAATGTGGTAGAATTTGTTCCTGCAAACTCATACAGGATTTGATTGTAAGACAGGTACATTTAGATCCACATTTTCTCTAAAACAAAAGGAATACAGGGAAAAGGAAGAAAAGGAAGAAAAGAGTCAGTCCATAAAAGGTAGAACTATTTCATAGAACTATAAACTCCTCTCCTCTTTTGCAACAGGTTTCAGCCCACGGACAGTTCAGTGTAACATCCAAAGCCACACCAACCATTTTAGCACCACTCTGATATATTTCAAGCAAGTAATGAGAAGTTGGGGAATTGCCACATCACAAACACTACTTTATCATAAGCACATTCTAAATTAAAGAGTTTCTTCAAGGCCTAACCCTGAATACAGCCCAAATACATAGCAACGAAGGAAGAACAGCTTCTGAACATGAGCAGACTAGCCTTAACAAATAAAGGAGTAGGGTAGCTTTCTTCATCTTGGAGCCTTCAGGACAGACTGGGTTTTCAAATCTCATAATCAACAGGATCCTTGTCATTGTCAAGTTGCCTGGAGATAACAAGAATTGTACTGCAACAAATCTGGAGGTTGGGGAAGGCTGGACTAAGAAGAACACGTACAACTGCCTCCCACACTTCTTAAGTACAGCATACTACAGTGGGCTACCCGGGAATTCCTATACCCAGGGTTCCTCAACCTTGGCAACTTTAAGACGGGTGGACTTCAACTCCCAGAATTCCCCAGCCAGCCTTGCTGGCTGGGGAATTATGCAAGTTGAAGTCCGCCCGTCTTAAAGTTGCCAAGGTTGAGGAACCCTGTCCTATACCACAAATTCCCTACACCATCTTTTGTTCCAGACTATAAGAAGCTACTGAATTATTACTCTAGCTCCTCTCCAGTTAATATAGATCCAGCCTGACAAAGTAGGTCTGGAGGCCTTTTCTAGCTACTCTATGGCATCGCTTCAAGAAATACGACCTGCAGGATGAACTGCATCCAACCTAAGCAAGGGGACTTCAGCCTGGCCCCAAGGGATAGCTAAATGTTTGCTGACAACTCCCTACTTCTCTCTTTGGGTGCCCCTGAACGGATTTCTGCTCTTCCTTCCACTCATTTTCTTGTTTTGTGTATGTCTTTTTTTCCCACTGAAAAACCCTGAGCAAGACACAATCTCACTTAATGGATGTTCAAGTATCAGTCCAAAGAGCAGGCCAGCGTTTCATAAAATTAATATATAAATAACAATCCTCAACCTGGATTGTTTGTATCTGACCCTGGTCTTTCTATCTCCAAACACTGGAAATCACTGCCCACTTAGTCATGTGGCTGCCAGTTTGAACTTTTTTTTTTTTACTCCATGTGGAAAAAGAAGAAAAAAGAAAGGAAAAGCACCCATCTTGCGTAATCATATACTATCTATCTACTTACCCTGTTCTACACTCAAATTATTCCCACCGAATTCAGTTTTCTTAACAATAGAAAACAAATGGGAAAGTAACCATGCAAGTATTTGCAGTCCAAATTTCTAAATAATCCTCCAATTGGGACTCCTGGCAGAAAAATGCTTCTTGGAAAACAGAGAGAGAATTTCTCCAAACCAGAATATGACTGAGAGAGAATGGGCAACCTTCTAGCTTGCTGGTCTTCAGGATGCTCTGAGAGTTGGATTCGGGGTAAAAGTCTAGGGCCATCTTGACCAAGAGGAGCAGGAAACCTTCACTATGACCTGCGTAACAGGTCTGGTTTTTATTCCGTTTCGATCATGTGAAAATATGATTATTGTCTTCATTTAAAAAGAGGGGGCTTACTAAAACCGCGTAATCCAGAAGCTATCTGATTACGCACATTTCCAGCTTTAATGCCTCCGTTCCGCTCCCCAAGTTTCTCCAACTTCTCTCCACTCAAGCGAGCGCGGAGGATTGGTTAGAAGCGCTCATTCGCCCGGACTTACCTCCGGACCGAGGCCTCGCTTTTTCTCCCCAGGGTCGGGCGAGGCGTCTCCCGCTTCCAGGGTCTCTTGGGGTGGCCGCGGCCGCCTGCTTTGCCTCTGGGCGTCCAAGAGGGGCTCGCGTGCCTCCCGACGGCACCTGCTCCCGCTGTCGGCCGGTGGCGGGGGGGGGGG